TGAGAACAAGTAATATAAGAGAATTCGTAAAGAACTTTCTAGTTCTTTAATATTTACCCATGTGAATTCTCTATTATTTTTGCACATCATACTTAAATTGATATGACTAAACTGATTATGCCAACTGAATAAATTATCAATATTGATAAGTTCAGGTTTACACCATGACATGTGCAATTGTCAATAAACTCCGGGTTTATTATGATATGAGTTTTTATATCAATAAACATCCACTTTATTCTGGTATTATTTTTTTTGTGCAGTACAAACTGAAGAATAAATCGGGTAGCTTTTCACATACATATTATCCCGCTACAAGTTGTAGTAATAGAAGATATCAAAATTTTCAGTCATTTATAGTCTTAATATAATCAACCGCTTTCACGTGCCCTTTGGAAACTGAATAAGTTTCTTTGAGATTTACTACAACACAATACCTTATTGGTAATCAATTGTGTTTCTCCAAAATAGTATAATTGGCTCTTGCAGAGTTCTCAATTAATTTTGTAATACCATATATTTATCAACACCATATGGTGAATATCTCTTTTAAGGAAAAAGTTATACCATTATGGTCATGGTCAAAATTATATGCAAGATATGTTTCTTGCATTATTGTTGTCCTTTAATAATCACACTGCCAAAATATTTGGCGTAAAATAGGTACGTGACCAATGACCATTCATGCCATAATAATGATATTATTTTCTTATATCATCTCAAACCTCCTTCTAAAGGTGAGTATGATATATTCACTAACACAAGCATTCATATTCTTCCAAGAACGAATATGTATTTATAAATCATATGTTGTCACATTCACATCATGAATTGACCATAATCATCTATATGTGCTTTATAAAATTTCACGTCAAATCGATGATAAACATTACTATCACAGAGTGAAAATTTAATTTGAGAATCCTTATTATTCTCATTACTCAATGATGACGATTATAATTTATTCTTCTATTGTCACGTCTACATCCATTAATACATTCATAGTAGTAATTTTGTCATCTTTCAGACTTATCACATACTGCTATCACATTTTCTTAAGGGAATGAGAATTGAGCAAATTCAATGTGATAGTTCTCAATTCTTTGCCCACATTCATACATGAATTTGATCATGGGAAGACATAGAAATTTTACCACTTTGGGTGGTTATAATATCTTTCAAACTCCATTAGAGTTGCAATCAAAATTTATCGTCTTTGTTTGTATTGAAAATCAAATTATAGAATGTCAAGAATTTGAAAGAGAAAAGTAAAATATTTACCTTAAATCCAGAATTTACACGAAGAAAGTTCATAGAACAATTAACAATTATTGTGCTCAATCCCAAAATTTCTACTCAATTGGTTAGAGTCTCGTGCTGATAACGTGTTATGAAATATTAAAAGAAGAAGAACAATATCTATACTATATTAAAAGCACGAAGGCCCTTAGCTAAATGTCGTTCGCCTTTTTTACCCCTTTAAAATAGAGTTCACACTGGACAAAATAGTTATTTGATTATTTTTATATATTTAGGAATAGTCAACTAATTAATTTCCTACTATTCATGAACAATCTTTTAATCAAATACTTAAAACTTTTAATTTTCAGTTTCTTCTATATCTTAAATTTCAAACACTTTCAACTAAACACATGGAAAGTTTTTGTTATACAGCTCAAACTAAAAGTTTCATCTTTCATCTAACTTAGGAAAATTTTATTTACTTTCAAAGGAAAATATCATAGAAAATTTTTAGTTAATTTTTTTTGACAGATTAATTCTTCAAAAAATATTAGGTAAAAACGTGCAATTTTATTTTATTTTTGGTTTAAAAGTCTTTATTTTCTAATAAATCATTAAATTATACATAATTTTATTTTGTACAAGTCCTTTCATATTTCAAATTATATACCAAAAATTTCTATAAAAGAGCTACAATTCTACATTTTCAAAATTAATGACTTTCAGGTTCTTCTTTGAGCAATTTTTTTATAGTAGTTGAATTTTACATTCACACGTTCATATTAATAGTTAAATTTGCATTCACGTAGTTATATTAATAACTAAATTTTTCATTCACGCATTCAACAAGTACATTTTTATTTTGGTATTCTTAATTGTGAACCTTGAATGAACATGAGCATGTTTAGCCAAAATCTCAATCTTTTTAGTAGTTTTATAATTTTTAGAATAATTCTTATGTATTAAGAAATAGAATAATTCACATTTTGTTTGCGAGAAAAAAAAGATCTTTCTAGAATGAACTTACAACAGCAACAACCCAGTATAATCCCACCTAGTGGGGTTTGGGGAGGGTAGTGTGTACGCAGACCTTACCCCTACCCTGAGGTAGAGAGGTTATTTCCAAATAGACCCCCGACATCCTTCCCTCTAAGAACTTCCCACCTTGCACTTGGGGAGACTCAAACTCACAACCTCTAGGTTGGAAGTGAGGTTTGCTTACCATTAGAGCATCCCCTCTTTCTAGAATGAACTTAAGAATGTATATTTTTCAAAAAGATTTCAAAAGGAAACTTTGAAATCTTCGAGAGTTTATGTGCTATGAAAATAAAAAGAACTACGACAACTTATGAAATTATAGTAATGAATAAATCTTAAATTAAAAATATTGATTAAGATGATTGAGGACTTCTACTATCACCGTTTCTTCATTTATTGAGTTGCTAAATATAACCAATAATTATTATTCTCAGTAACTCACACTTTTTTCTGAAACTTATTTTATAACTCAAACGTAATTAGTTAACATAATACTTATGTGATTTTTTAAAAATATATACATACTGAGACAGAATACACGCGCAGCGCGCGTATCGTATAACTAGTTACAGAGAAAAGTAAAGAGAAGAGAATTCTTATTGATATGCGATGTATTATAATTAGGGGTGTTCATAAAAACCCGAAAAACCGAACCAAACCAAAAACCAAACCAAACCGATAAAAAAAGCCGATACTTTTTGGTTTGGTTTGGTTTTGGTTTTAAATTTTAAAAACCGATTAAATTTGGTTTGGTTATGGTTTTAATTAGAAAAAAAACCGAAAAAACCCGAACCAAACCGACTATAGAAGTAGCTATTTCAAATTCATTATTACACCTATATATATATATATATATATATATTTTTTTTTTTAATGCAAAATTTAAAATTTTGTGTGATAAATGTTAATAGTTTGCACTTTTAGTATAGTTCTTTACCTTTACATTCTAATTTGATTGGTAGTTTTCTTTTGTTAAGTGTAAGAATCTATTTCGTTTTAAAAATAATATATTTTTAATTGAGTCCTAAAATTATTCATCACCATTTAATTCAGTTATCATCAATATATCTTGATAAATAATAGATTGCTAAAAGGACAATTGATTTGTTAGTGTTACGTTGACAATGTGATCGCCGAAATATGTGTTTGGTAGTTTATGTCGTATATTTAAGGAAAAAACCGATAAATAACCGAAAAAACCGAAAAACCGACAAAATCCGACATAAACCGAATCGAGAAAAAACCGACTTAATTGGTTTGGTTTGGTTCTAATATTTGAAAAATCGACTTACTTGGTTTGGTTTTTTTTTTGGAAAAAACCGATCCAAACCGAACCATGAACACCCCTAATTATAATGAAATATAACCCTCTATTTATAGTGAGAGAGTGACTTAGCCACCAAGTAATAAACCCTATAATTTCTCTAAATATAGACATTCATCATAAATAGAATTCTATTTATAACATTAATCTAATTATCTTCAACGAAAATTTATCCTTAATTATTTGCCTTTGTATCTCTCTCACTCTCTGTTCTTAAGTAAAGATATCTTTTCTCAATCAAATGGCCTCTTCTTTGGTAGCTTTTGTTTCCTTCATTTTTTTGTTGCTGATATAATCAAATATAAGCTAATTATTTTTGTTGGATATATGCAACGCAAGCATATTATTATGTTAATACTTTTGAGAATTTAGAGTGGCAATAATATATAAATATTAGTTGAAATAAGTGAGTACAATGTCAGAGTAATAAAATATTTGTAAATAAATATTATTTCACTTATAAGTAAAAGGTGCTGTTTCATTTAAATGAAAATTATTATTCTCCGAATGAAAATGTTTTGAACATTTTATGGTAAAAATCTTTTTGTAGAGTTTTTTTTTTGGTATGGTCATAAAAACACATCCTTATTCCACATACAAAATAAAGGAGCATAATACCTTAGTAAGTATTTCATATGTTTTCTATGCTTTCCCCCCTTTTTTTTCTCTTCCGATATTTTTCATATAAAGGTTCCTTTAGTTTCCATTTCAATTCGTACTTAGCAAACAAAAATACTAGCCAAAAAAATAAAATTAGATATTGGTTAAAGTAAGTGGTAAGATAAATAAAAATTATGAGATATTCGTAAATAACCATTACTTCTGCTTAATAGATAAAGTCATCATTAATATCATGTTAGAGTAATATAATTTTTTATATAAAATATATTATTTTAAATAAATATTTTTGATGCGAATCCAAATTAATTGAGTGCAAGAAAGAAAAACATTCTCCTTATTGACCAAACAAAGGAGCATGTCACCTTTGTTATTTCATTACATTTGTTTCCTATTCTTTTGACCCCTTTTCAGATTTTCTTCCCTTGTTTCCATACAAAGGTTCCTTTTCATTTTCTTTCCTACTTTCCAAATTAAAAAAAACGTAAATTAGTTAAAAAATTAAAAAATAAAATAAATTAGTTAAACCACTCTGCCCCAACCCCCTTTCTCTCTCTTTCACTACCCCTCTAAACCCTAATGATTTAAACGCGCACACACACACTCAACCAATTCGCACACACTCCAATTTTCGCTGTCTCTGTCCGCAACCTCTTCCTCCTCCTCCTCATTTCTTCTTCATTCTCTTCAATTTCTATAAAACCCTAGAAGAAGAAGGGAATTTGGAATTTCAATTTCCCTTCTTCTTTTCTAATTTCGGTTTTTTGTGTGTGAAGTTATGGATCTTCAGAACCTTGCTATTGTTCTTCGTGGTGCACTTAGTCCTAATCCCGATGAGCGTAAAGCTGCTGAAGACAGTCTTAATCAGGTTTAATTTTGTTCATTAAAACATTATTCTTCAATTTAAAGTTTATCGAGAATATAGTGAATTTAATCGGATTTGATTTGTTATGCTGTTTTTTAGTTCATTAAAGCACGGGTGTTGAATTTTGACTTGTTTGAGAGTAAACTGAATTTAATCGGATTTGCTTTGTTATGATTAAATTATGAGTAATACAACAGTAAAGCTGCTGAAGATAGTTTCAACCAGGTTGAATTCTGTTTCTTAAAGCTTTTTTGTTGAATTTGAAGTTACTCGGGAGTAAACCGAAATCAATTGGATTTGTTATGTTATGATTAAATTATGAGTAATACAAACATAAAGCTGATTTTATTGTTTATGAAAGTATTATTGCTGAATTTTAAGTTGCTCGAGAACAAGCTGAATTTAATCGGATTTGTTTTGTTATTACTAAATTATGACTAATTCAAAAGTAAAATTGCTGAAGATAGTCTCAATCAGGTTTAATTTTGCTTATTAAATCATTATTGTTGAATTTTAAGTTGCTCGAGAGTAACCTGAAATCAATTGGATTTATTTTGTTATGATTAAATTATGATAATACAAATATAAATCTGTTTTATTGTTTATGAAAGTAATATTGTTAAAAAGTTTAAGTTGCTAGAGAGTAACAATAACAACAACAACCCAGTGTATTCCCACATTAAGTTGCTAGAGAGTAAACTGAATTTAATCGGATTTGTTATGTTGTTTAATTTGCAGAACAGACTGATCTAAATTTCTCATATAATTACTATTTTTGGTACTTTTGGACCTGAATTATGGATTTCCTTTTAATTTTTATATATATAAACATACTTTTACTAGTTTGGGGAGTTTGGTAATTGTAGGATTGAGCTTTAATTGTTTTGACTTAGGTGTTATTATTAACTTTTTTGTTTATAAAAAAGCATTAGTGTTAAATTTTAAGTTATTTTAGCTATTTGTGATTGTTGAATTTGAGTTATTTTAGTCTGTTTGGATCACAAGCTCACAGGTTGACATTATAGGATATTGAAATCTCAGCAGACAAATATGTAGACATTGGATTCTCTTGATTTTATTTATTCCTGAGTGCACCTATGTTTGCAGTTTCAGTATACTCCCCAGCATCTTGTGAGGTTGCTGCAAATCATAGTAGATGGGTCTTGCGACATGGCAATCCGGCAGGTGGCTAGCATTCACTTTAAGAACTTCGTTGCAAAGAATTGGTCCCCTCATGATCCTGGTAATGGCCGTATTATTACCCCCCTTCATCTAGAAAAGGAAAAAGAAAGATTTTTTATATTTGGAATTAAATGTCAAAAATTATACTTCACAACGTTTTTCATTAGTGATCGGGTAAATTTGGTATTTACTGAGAAAATTGGTGTTGATGTAGCTGAGCAATCAAAAATTCTGCCAAGTGATAAGGAATTGGTGAGGCAAAATATTCTCATATTCATTGCACAAGTTCCCTCATTGCTGAGGTATGATGGCTCATCTGTACGCATTGTACTGTGTTTCTTATGTTTATTTGAAAAGACAAAATGTGGATATTCCTTTTCTTTTATTTTTTTTTAATTTTGGACTCTCATAAGTAGACAATTTGTTTATTCTGAACAGAGTACAGTTGGGGGAATGCCTTAAGACAATGATACATGCGGACTACCCGGAGCAGTGGCCAACACTTCTTCCATGGGTAAAGCATAATCTGCAGGATCAGCAAGTTTATGGTGCTTTGTTTGTTCTGAGAATTCTCTCCAGGAAATATGAGTAAGTTGTTGATTTAGATGGGTGCTCGTGTTCAACAATCTCTTTTTTGTTCCTTTGGTAGCTGTTGAAATATGTTTCTGCATATCGGGCTTTACAGTTCCTCTGCTGGTTCATGACCAGTGAATTTTGTGCTACAGTATGTACTTTTCATGTATTTGAACCCTTTATTTTGTACTTCTGGTCTTAACAGAGTACTGTCTATTAGCAACACCAAAAAGATATATAATGTATATAGGTATTTATGCATGTTATTTACTAAGGTAAAAAAACATGCATAAAAGAGTTACTGTTGCTCTTATAACACATTATAATATTAATTACCTTTGCTCTCTTGTAAAAATGAGTTGTTATGAGTCTGCAGGTAGTTGACTTTATAAGTCGGGCTTGTAAATTTTGGGTGTATTGAGTATGACAATGGTCGATGTTGTTCAATCACCTTAAAAACTCGGACAAGATCAAAATACTGCGTGAGAGCTTATCCAGCATCTTTTTTTTAATCTTTTGATTTGGGTGGTGGGTGTCATGGTATTTGGCTCTTAGCACTATCTTTTTAAACTGAAAAAGGTTTTAAACAACTTATCTTGTTCAAAAAGGTTTTTATTACAGTGTAAGCAACTTATTTTTGCGGGTACTTGTTTATAAACCCCAAGTTGTACACATGTATATATAATAGTGTCAAGAGTTCTTAGCAATTGGTTTAATACTAGCGCAGTGCAGGGTTAGCAATTCTTCCATCTGTTTTTTGAAAAAAAATGCTGTTGAGTGGTTCTGTCGCATTGTCATGAACTTGTTTATCAGATTTATCTATGAATCTTCCTTCTTCGCCCACGATCACCCGGATGATGGAATTCTGACATATTTTCTTCTGTACTCATGTCTTGTTTCTATTTACCAGATTCAAATCTGATGAGGAGAGGACACCTGTTTATCACATTGTTGAGGAAACTTTTCCACAGCTTCTCAACATATTCAACAGGCTTGCTCAGATAGCAAATCCTTCCATTGAAGTAGCAGACTTGATCAAGCTCATTTGCAAGATATTCTGGTCATCCATATATGTATGTTTTGTATAGATGTTTTTTCGCTAAAGCTCTTCACATTAGTTCTTTGTGTCATGCAGTGCTGATGTCTGCATCTTGTTTAGATACTGTAAAACACATCAAATTTTGGTTTTCTTCTACCTTTGTAGAGGGGTGGATCGTCTTTCTTTCAGCGTTATCAAAGGCGCGCTTTAAGCGCGCTTAAGCCCTGAAGCGAGGCTCAAAACATGTTGAGCGCTTCACCTCGCTTAACGGGCGCTTCAGTGTTGTCATTGGGGACTTAAGGCATATTTTTCCTTGCTAACAAGCGTAATCCGGAATACGCGACACTAAACAATTGATATTTCACTTTATCGTAAATTTTCTTCGATTTCTTCGTCCATATATTTGGTATTCATGTTTATAGATATTAATCTTGGACTACACATACATATTTGTATTTTTTCTCCATTTGCGCCTTTTTTCATTAAAGCCCACGCTTTATTTGCGCTTTGTGCTAAAAGCCTCAACCTACCTTAGAGCTTTTTTGCGCTTTTCGCCTTTGATAACACTGCTTTCTTTTATGATAAGATTTTTTTAGGCAAAGCTTGCACCATCTGTTTATTTTGGAATATTTTGGTTCTCTTATAAAGCTGTATGTCCTGATGTTGGTTGGTGTTTGCAAAACCCTTTTAAGAAACATTTGGTCCGTGTGGGAGTTTCTGTCAGTTTGCCTTTCCATCTTTTGAAATATTCTTTATTTGGCTAATATTTCATAGAAGTGACCTGGATTATATAAGCTATCCCTTCTGATATTCAATTTCATTGCTGATAAAAAGCTGAATTGGTTTGTGCAACTCCTTACCTTTTCTATATCAAACTCTTTTCCAGTTGGAGATTCCGAAGCAGTTGTTTGATCCAAATATGTTCAATGCCTGGATGGTCCTTTTCTTGAATATGTTGGAGAGGCCTGTCCCTCTGGAAGGCCAACCAGCCGATCCAGAGCTAAGGAAATCATGGGGATGGTGGAAGGTGAAAAAGTGGACAGTCCATATACTGAATCGACTATACACCCGGTGAATTTATACCCTTTTCCTTCTGTGGATCCGGTCCATTACGACTTGTTTCTAATGTTGATCTCACTTTTTTTCTGTTGTTCCTCATTTCTTACTCCTTTTTGGTTTCTCCAGGTTTGGAGATTTAAAACTTCAAAACCCAGACAACAAAGCTTTTGCTCAAATGTTTCAGAAGGGCTATGCGGGGAAAATTCTGGAGTGCCACCTTAATTTGTTGAATGTTATACGCGCTGGTGGTTACTTGCCTGATAGAGTGATCAACCTCATTTTGCAATACCTGAGCAATAGGTTTGTGCAACTACTTAGTTTACGGACTCGATGAATTATGTCACATTTGCCTATCTGTAAGTAGTTCCTTGATTATCTCCTTTGGGAAATTTGCTTATAGTTAGTAAGCAAAGCATATAGTGGCCTTGGGTTTTAGTAACTTGATAAGACTTGTTGGATTTTATTTAATTGCGATATGAAACTTTGATTTCTTTATAACGCTACGTTTTATAAGTGGATTAATGATGGATGCTCTAATGTGGATATAATGAGAGAAAAAGCAAGTAACTGCGTAAAGGTGCTGGCTCATTTGTAATTGAGAAAAAACTTCTCTTTGAGCTCTTCTAGTTGTGAGCTGAGAGTGAGAGCTTGGTCAGCGAGAATGCAGTATGAAATGGATCAAAGCATTATAAAAGGTCTTCTGTGCGCTCATTTTCTTTCTAGGAAATACCATATGTGAGGTAGCAGGCCTTAGCAAAAGTAAAAAGAGGGCAGCCCGGTGCACTAAGCTCTCTCTATGAGCGGGGTCCGGGGAAGGGACGGACCACAAGGGTCTATTGTACGCAGAATTAGCAAAAGTAATGGAGATTAGTTGCTTAGAATTGAGTTCTTGTCGAGACATTAACAAATTTTTGACATTTCGTCGTCATTCTATAACTGACTGGATGCTTATCACTGATTCTCATTTTGTTCAAGGAAAGTAGACACCTCAGTTTTGAGTGGGGCTGAATATCATATGGCATATAGTTCTTTGAGTTGACAGAAAAACATAAATCTCGATTTTCTTGTAAAGAAAATGACTGGATATTTGGGTCTTACTTTTTAGATAGCGATCATCTTTTCTAGAGGTCTTCTATCTGCTCTGCTTCTGCTACTTTGCTTTATTAATCTGTCGCCAGATGCCAAACCTATTATTTTTTCGTAGTTTGGTTTCTACTTCTACTGCTTATTAATGATTACTGTAGTACATGCTTAGTTAATGCACTACATTATTTTTACATTTTTCTGGCTACTGAATCACTCTACTTTGTACTGTGCAGTATCTCAAAGAGTAACATGTACAGCTTGTTGCAACCAAGACTTGATATTGTTCTTTTCGAGATCATCTTTCCACTTATGTGCTTCAGTGATAATGATCAAAAGCTCTGGGAGGAGGATCCACATGAATATGTTAGGAAGGGTTATGGTAACGTCATTTACTATATTGATGTCCCTCCACTCAGCTGAGTTCAATCATTTTGGGTTGACTTCCCTCACTATAATTCTGTAGATATAATTGAGGACTTATATAGTCCCAGAACTGCTGCAATGGATTTTGTGAGCGAGTTAGTCCGGAAGCGTGGTAAAGAGAACCTTCAAAAATTTATACTATTCATTGTCGAGATTTTTAAGAGGTATCTTTTTATGTTGCTTCACATGGTAACAGTCAGGTTAAGCTCTTTTCGTGGTATCAAAGTTCTTGTGTTTGTGTGTTGCATTTGTTTTTTCAGATATGAGGAGGCAGCCCCAGAATACAAGCCATATAGGCAGAAAGACGGTGCTCTCCTTGCAATTGGAGCTCTATGTGATAAACTGAAACAAACCGAACCTTACAAATCAGAGCTTGAACGTATGCTTGTTCAACATGTATTCCCAGAATTTAGCAGTCCTGTGGGCCATCTTCGAGCCAAGGTTTGTTGGACTGTCTTCTTGACCTTTGTTAATGTGCAGTTTATATGCTCTTCTACCGACTTAGTTTTATTCTGTATAATGAATTCCTTTAGATTTTCTATTGGACGATTAATGAGGCAAATGCTGAAATATGTACATCTTTTATTCAACTTTCCCCTCATTTAGCAGAAACATTTTAATTTGATATTGTGTAAATTCATTTTACAATATATGGATGTACAAACTGTAATTATCAGCACACTGTGCCTTTCATTTGGAAGTTTTATTTCTTAAACTTCCCGGTTCATCAGTCTCTCGTAGATTAATCAATTTTGTCTAAATATCCCGGGTGCTGTTTGTTTTGGCATTGTTGACACCATATGTTCTCAGTAATCTTTACCAATTTCTGGAGGAAGATTGCTACTTTACTCATTCCTCATATTTGAAACCGTGCAAATGGAGGTTTTCTTCGTTTTTTCTTAGTTCCTTGCTGAGTCTTCACAGTCTCCAAACAATGTGTCTATTCCCTACTTTATTTTTGATAGCAATAGTTGCATTAAACAATGTTTTCCTATAACGGGGAGCATTTAGAGAATTTTGTAGATTCTTTTTTTTTGTGTTTTTTCTGTTTAACATAGCTTTTGATCTTCCAACTTAGTCTGGATGTCTCATCATTTTAAATGTTTTATCTTTCTGCCATAACAGGCAGCATGGGTTGCAGGACAGTATGCCCATGTTAACTTTTCAGATCCAAATAACTTCCGCAAGGCATTACACAGTGTTGTGGCTGGAATGCGTGATCCTGACCTCCCTGTTCGTGTTGATTCTGTTTTTGCTTTACGTTCGTTTGTTGAAGCCTGCAGAGGTAAACATATACTCGACATTTTGTTCTCTTTCAAATTCATAGGGGTTAATCCTGTTTACACTTTGGTGTAGGTTCTCCTTTTTTGGTATATGCGGGGTTCCCCCAATTGTTAATTAAATTATTTACCTTATAAAATAATCCTACTCACACTTATCATCTGTTTGTCAATGCAGATTTAGATGAAATCCGGCCCATTATCCCCCAACTACTTGATGGTACTTGCAAGACCCTTTCGCGTTATGTATCGTTTATGAGCATCAATTGATGGAATTATTTTGTTTAACAACGCTTTTCATATGAATCGCATTCAGAATTTTTCAAACTTATGAATGAAGTCGAGAATGAAGATCTTGTGTTTACACTTGAGACTATCGTTGACAAGTTTGGTGAGGAGATGGCTCCTTATGCTCTTGGGCTATGCCAGAATTTGGTGAGGATATATATTGTTGGAGTGCTTTTTGTATGAAAGGATATCTGGATCACAGAAACTAATGAGGGTTGCATTTCAGGCTGCTGCATTTTGGAAATGCATTAACACGTCGGAAGCAGATGAAGAAGGTGATGATCCTGGAGCTCTGGCTGCAGTTGGCTGTTTACGGGCCATAAGCACAATTCTTGAGTCAGTGAGCAGGCTTCCGCACCTATTCATTCACATTGAGCCGACTCTCCTCCCAATAATGCGTAGGATGTTGACTACTGATGGACAAGGTTCTTTATTCTTCTGCTATCTTGTTTCTTACCTTTTTATTTAGTAGGACAAGCATTTAGTTGAAGTTATTTTTTTTTAGAAACTTCTGTGTTATCAGATTAGGTGACAGTTCGTTCTTACATGGTATAAAATATAATGGAAGGAAGAAAATGTAATATAAAATATTGGAGAGGAAAACAAACGAGAAATTTTAAGGAGTTCATTTCTTTCCTTTGTCTGAGGAAGGGAAAGAGGTGATGAAGATATGACATGCCTTCTCTCTGTCGTTCTCAATTAGATGATAGGCCAAGAGGAGGGTTGATTTTTAGCCCCCTTTGCTTTTTTACATTTCTTTCCTCTTCTCTAAAACAAAGAAGAAAAAAACAAACAGGTTTCCTTTCATGTAGTTTGCCTTGAACAAAATCTTGAAGTGTTAAGCTGTGAAAGATTGCTCGGATCATTTTAAAGTAATTTGGCATAGTCGGCTTCACTGCGTGATGTTTGTGAAAATAACTGTCAGTTCCTTCGTTGAAAGATGAATTATGGATTTGAACTTCGTGTGGTTAAGTGCACAACTAAAAGTAAGTTGTATCTTAAAATATAAGTAAGCTTCATTCCTAGTGTATCTATTTAGGACATAGAAACTTATCATTTGTTATTTCCCTCTGCGTGTTCATGGAAGTATTAGAAAAACGTGATAAATCTAGTCTTGTGGAGGCTGTGACTTGTCCAAAGTCAGCCTGGTTTATATGTTTGCAAGATGTAGTAGTTGAAATTATCAGTCCTTATCTTTGAAAATAAGTTTGTTAGTTTGCGTATTTCTTGGAAAAAATTGTGGTTCTCTTTTCACCATTTGAATCTCCTTGCAGAGGTCTTTGAAGAGGTATTGGAGATAGTTTCATACATGACATTCTTTTCGCCAACAATATCCATGGAAATGTGGAGTCTATGGCCATTGATGATGGAGGCTCTAGCAGACTGGGCTATTGACTTCTTCCCTAGTACGTCTAAACACTTTGATGTTACTGTTCCCTAAATGTGGATAGGTTGTAAATTTTCAAATGTTGTCTCTGATGCTATTCTGTGTGATAAACATATTTGCTGTGTGAAACGAGGTTTTAGAGCTTCATTTATTATCTAAGCTCTCAGATATGCTCAACTAAGTTTCATGTGTTTAACCAGATTATTTAGAATTAAGAAGGAACAAGTACTCATTGTGAGGGGGAGATGCTTGTGGGTTAGAGTTTCATGAGCAAACAAGCTCTCTTTGCGCCTTGCTGTATTTTCAATAATCTTATTTTTTTTTATGTTTTTCTATTTTTTTTACTTCCCTCATGTTAATTTTCTACTTCCTCTTGTTACTTCCCTCAGTTGGAGCTTTCTTCCCCATGTTAATAGCATTGACACTTCTTTGGATTTTGTTAGCTCCCTGGTTCTAGCATAGGCACACTTGTAGTGGAGCTTACAATGTTTTTTGTCTTTTGTATGGGAGCTAATACAGTTTCTGTCTTTTGTAATTTGGCATCTTCTTGATGCCCTTTCAACGATATTATCTTACTTCATCCAAAAAATTGTGGTAAAGTATGCTGCAAATCAGTTTAGATTTGATTTGATTTCATCCTTCTAAAAAATGGCCATTTTGGGGGCTGTTTGTATTGCCTATACTAATAGGGTTGTGGGCTTAAAGAGAGATGATGATTCTTCTTTTAGTGATGCCAGGTGCTGCAGAATGGAGCGTTCTTTTTGTCAGTGGATAGTAATTGCTTTATGATTCTAAAAACTACAGATCTGCTCTTATCTGATCTGATTCCCCCTTTTGTTGATTGGTTCTATGTTTTTGCAGATATACTGGTTCCTCTGGACAACTATATATCCAGGTGTACTGCCCACTTCTTGACTTGCAAGGATCCAGACTACCAACAAAGCCTTTGGAATATGATATCAACTGTAAGTTGAATACTGCCACCAAATTTTAGCTTCTAATCATGTTGCTTTAGATTAGATGTATAATACTACATTTCGGATCAGGTCATGGGAGATAAAAATTTGGAGGATGGTGATATTGAGCCCGCACCTAAGCTCATTCAAGTAGTGTTTCAGCACTGCAAGGGACAG